TCCGTGCGCCGGGAGCGGCGCCCAGCCTTACACGCCGCCCCCGAAGCTCTCCTCCTCCTCGGGCAGCGGGTCTGCGTCCCAGCACGTGATGTCGATCTCTGCGGTGGGCAGGGTGTGGGGACGGTGGGTGCCCTGGGATGCACCCATGGGCCCCCCCCTTGCCGTGCACCCCTGCTCACCTGGGGGCTTGTTGTAGAAGACGGGCTGGGGCGCCTTGGCCGAGAGCTCCTCGGGCTGCGGCACCTCCTCGTCCTGCGACTGGCTGAAGTAGCCCTCGCTGGCCTGCGGGACACACGTGGCCCCCCGGGGCTCGTCCCTGTGCCCGCGCTGGGGTGCGCGAGGGCGCCTGCCCCACACCGGGCTCCACTCCCCACACCGGGGCGCACGGGCTCCTGCCCCGCACCGGCTCCGCTCCCCACGCCGGGGTGCGCGGCGCCGCTGCCTGCCCGTGCCGCGCTGGTGCCGCCGGCGCTCACCTGCTCGCCGCGGCCCGGCGTGCCATCCTTGAGGGCCATCTCGCCGTTGGTCAGGAGGGGGGTCTCGGCGCCCAGCGCGGCCTCCGGCAGCGCGTGCTGGTAGCCGAGCGCCGCCGCGCGGGCCGTCCCGCCGGGCGCCTCCTCCTCCTCCTCCTGCTCCGCGTCGCAGAACGTGGCCGGCGGCTCGGGCAGCTCGTCCAGGCCCAGCAGGGCGCCCTCGTCGGCCAGCGCGGCCTCGGGGGCAGCCGCGGGGCCCTCGGTGGCGGCCGTGGGCAGGGGCCAGGCGGGGGCGGCGGCGGGGGCCGCCCCGTCGCTCTCCCACAGCTCCAGGAGGCTCTCGGTGCCGGGCGTCTCCGCAGGCTCCGGTGCCGCCGCGGGCTCCGGTGCCGCCGCCGCAGGCTCCAGGCTCACCAGGTCGCCCAGCGCGTCAGGCGCCGCYGTCCAGGCCGGCCTGGGGCTGGGCTCGGCCTCGGGGGGCTCCGCAGCGCTGTCCTCGCCCCCCGGGAAGGGCCAGTGCTGCTCGGCGCCCRCGGGCTCTGCCTCCGGCGCGCTGGGGCTGGGCGAGTCTGCGGGGGGACAGCGCGGTCAGCAGCGCCAGCCCAGCAGCGCGGCGGGCACTGGGGACGGCGGGGAAGCAGGGACGCCACGGGTGAGAGCGGGGACACGCACAGGGCAAGGGGAACCCGAGGAGATGCAGCGGGGCTGCTGCTGGGTGCATGGGCCGGGGGCTGAGACACGGCGGGGCAGGGGAAGCACCGGCAGAGGCAGCAGCGATGGCCGGGATGCCATCCCTGGATAAGGAAAGGGGCTGCACGCGGTGGGGTGCAGCGGGGACACACTGCAGGGTGCAGCAGGGATGCACCGCGGGGATGCACTGGGGAATGCGGCGGAGATGGCAGAGCTGCACCAGGCAGCGCAGAGCAGATGGCAGCAGGGATGCTCCAGGGACAGCGGGATGCAGAGTACAGCGGGAATGCACCAGGGACAGCAGGATGCAGAGTACAGCGGGAATGCACCAGGGACAGCGGGATCCACCAGGGATGCAGATGCGATGTCAGGGGATGCAAGAGGGAATACGGTGGAGATGAGAGAGCTGCACCAGGCGATGCAGGGGATGGTGGCGAAGCACCAGGGCCGGCGAGGATGCAGAGGGACCGGCGAGGATGCACACAAGGCGGCGGGGATGCACCGGCAACGGCGGGATGCAAACGGGATGGCAGCAATGCAAACAGGACGGCAGGATGTGGACGGGACGGCGGGGATGCAAAGGGTGCGGCGGGATGCCAAGGGTACGGCGGGATGCAAACGGGACGGCGGGGATGCAAACGGCACGGCGGGGATGCAAACGGCACGGCGGGGATGCAAACGGCACGGCGGGGATGCACTGGGCGGATGCAGCAGTGACCGCGTGCATGCACGGGAGGCTGCACGGCGGGGCAGCAGTGACACATCGGGGGGGCAGCAGTGATGTCGTGGGGCGCCCATGGGGCCGTGGGGCCGGCCCCGTGCCCACCTGTGGGCGCTGCCGGCGTCTCTCGGGGCGGCGCGCGGGCGCCCTGCTCGCCCCGCGGCGTGGAGGCCGGGCTGGACTCGCAGGGGCTGCAGCCGGGCGCCGAGGCCTTGCGGAAGGCGTCCGACTGGCTGCCTGCGGACGGGAGACGCGGCTTGGGGGGCGCCCCACGGCGACCGCGCTCCTGGCCCCGCGCGATGAGCGTTGGGACGCGCACCGCGGCCACCGCGCTGTGCCCAGCCTGCACGGTGTGGCGGGGTGCCCGCGGCACCCCACAGCCAGCCGCCCCACAAAGGGGACAGTCAGTCCCGCCACAGGGGCTCCTGTCCTCCCCACCCCACCCTGTCCTTCCTCTGCCCCACGGCAGGAACTCCATGTCCTCCTCTGCCCCACAGGTGCCACATTGCCCCAGCAGTGCTCCAACGCGCAACTCTGCCCCGCCAGCCCAGCCACACACACAACCTGCCTGTGCCCCTGCCCCCCGGGCACAGCCTGCCCCATCTCCATCCACCCTGGGGGCACAGCTTGCCCCCTTCCCCGCCACGATGGCATGGGCACGTCCTGCCCCGTGCCCCCTATGCTGTGAGCACAGCCTGCACCTTCCCCTCTGCCCCACGGGCGCAGCGCACCCCAGGGCACAGCCTGCCCCATGCGCCCTCATGCCATGGGCAGAGCTTGCTGCATCCTCCTGCCCCATGGCACAGCCTGCCCTCCCTCCTGTGCCATGGGCACAGCCTGCCCCACCATCTATGGCACAGCCTGCCCCTCTCTTTCTGCCCCATGGGCACAGCACGCCCCACTTCGCTCTGCCCCAGGGGCACAGCCTGCCCCATGCCCCCTATGTTATGGCACAACCTACCCCATCTCTACCTGCCCCATTGGCACAGCCTTCTTCACGCCCCCTATGCTATGCACAACCTGCCCCATCCCCACCTGCCCCACGGACACAGCGTGCCCCTGTCCACTATCCTATGGCACAGCCTGCCCCACAGGCACAGCCTGCCCCCTCCCCATCTGCCCCACAGCTTGCAGGGTGCCCTGGGGGTGCAGACCCCCACTCTGCGCCCCCCGCTGCGTACCCCGCCTCTCCCAGCTACCTACATGGGAAGAAAGAGGAGAGATTTGGGGTGCGGTGGCAGGAGATATAGGGGTAGGGGGTCCGCGGGGGGGAGGAGGAGGAGGAAGAGGAGGAAGGCGGCCCACTGTCAGCTGTCTTTATGAAAGAACAGTGCAGACGACCTGCCGAGAGAAAGACAGACAGACRGACGGAGAGAGAGAGCAGAGAGATGGGTCAGAGCCCGCTGCCCGGGGCGCCGGCGAGCAGCAGTGCAAGAGGATGGACGGGAGGAAGGCTGAGCTCRTGGCGGGATGAGGAGGATGCAGGGGAGGAAGGCCGTGCTCATGGTAAGGAGGAAAGCAAGTGCCAACAGTGGGATGAAGAGGGTAGTAGGGAGGAAGGTCGTGCTCATGGGGGGATGAAGAGGATGGAGGGGAGGAAGGTTGTGCTCATCGTGGGATGCAGGGAGGAAGGCAAGTGCCAGCAGAGGGATGAGGAGGACGGAAGGGAAGAGGGCTGTGCTCATAGTGGGATGGGGGGGAGAAAGCAAGTGCCAGCAGAGGAACAAAGACAAAGAGGACGGAGGGGAGGAAGGCAATGCGGAGAGTGGGATGCAAGGAGGAAGGCAAGTACCAAGAGTGGGATGAGGAGGATGAAGGTGAGGAAGGCTGTGCTGACAGTGGGACAAAGAGGATGGAGGGGATGAAGGCAGTGCTGACAGTGGGATGAGGAGGATGAAGGTGAGGAAGGCCAGTGCCAATAGCAGTGTGGGGACGAGGCCAGGACACAGCCACGGCGCAACCTGCCTGTGCAGCCCCAGTGCAGCCGCCCAACGCGACCCCGTGGCACAGACCACAGCGTGACCCACAGCGCAGCCCCACGGCACAGCCCCCAGCACAGCCCCACATCGCGGCTCCATGGCACAAACCCACGGCACAGCCCCCAGCACAGCCCCATGGCTGGAGCATTGGGCACAGCCCCACGGCACAGCGCAAGCACAGCCCCACGGCGGGAGCCCCAAAAGAGCCCCACAGCAGAGCCCCACAGCAGGAGCCTTGGTGCAGCCCCACAGCACAGCACGACCACAGCCCCACGTCAGAGCCCCACAGCACAGCCCCACGGCACAGAACGAGCACAGCCCCACAGCAGGAGCCTGGCCACAGCCCCACACGCAGCACAGCCCATGGTACAGCCCCACAGCACAGCCCCACAGCCGGAGGCTCCCACCACACAGACAGACAGACAGCCCCTATCCAAGAGCCACAAAAGGGCCTCAATGCTGGGCCCCACTCTGTGGGGCAGCCCAGCCTCCTGTGGGGCACCCGCACTGCCCCCGTCCCCAAAGCCAGCCCTCCACAGGGACACACAGGGACTGGCGCATTGCCCTGCCGGTTGCCCCACACACGTGTGCACGGACGGGACCCCATGGCGGGTGCATCGGGGACACGGCGGGTGGGTGCCCCCAATCTGTGCCCAGCAAGAACCTATGGAGTGACGGCGCCGGAGCCACGTGTGCCCAGGGCACCCTGCAGCGCCCGACCCTGCAGCTCGGCGCCCACGTGGGCACCCTGCAAGTGCTGGAGCCGAGCGGGGCGCCCATGGGTGCCGGCGGGACGACCCTTCCCAGCGCCTGTGTGGTGGCCACAGGGGGACAGCAGCGGGGACAGACATTGTCATCGCGTGGGGCCGGCACAGAGGGGTCCCCCGGCCCCACAGGGGCGCGTGTGTGTGCCGCCCTCACCTGTCCTGTGGCTGCCCGGCGAGACGGCCTCGCTGCTGCCCGACGCCACCCGCTCCTGCTGCTTGAAGAAGTCCCGCGGGTTGTCGGGGCGCTGCGCGATGATGGCAGCCGCCTCCTGCGGGCACGGAGCGGCCTGAGCGCCCGGCCGGGCGGCCCTGCGGCCCCGCGCCGCCCCGCGCTCACCTCCACCTCCGACTCGGATTTCCGGAGCTGCTGCCGCTCGTCCTCCTCCTGCTGCTCCCCCTGCAGAGAGCGCCGGGCTCAGCCCCGTGCCGCTGCCCGGGGCGGCCGCGGCCCCGCGCGCCCGGCGCGGCACTCACGAAGATGGACTGCTCCTTGAGGCGCTGCCGGGCCTCCTCCGCCTCCATGCTCTGCTGCTTCCGCCTGCCAGGGCACGGCCGGAGGGCTCAGACCCCTGTGCCCACGCGGGGTCCGGTCCCCCACGCGCAGCACCCTGCGCTCAGCACCTCCCTGCATGCGCCCGCATGCCCAGCAAGGGCTGCAAAGGGGTCCTGGGGTGCGTGTGCCCAGGAAGCCCTCGGTCCTGCCCACGGGTCACCCCACACTGTGCTCTGCCCAGCATCACCCCCCCTGCACCCTGCCCATGGGTCACCCCACACTGTGCTCTGCCCAGCATCACCCCCCCTGCACCCTGCCCACGGGTCACCCCACACTGCGCCCTGCACATGGGTCACCCTACACTGCGCCCTGTCCATGGGTCACCCCCCCTGCACCCTGCCCATGGGTCACCCCACGCTGCGCCCTGCACATGGGTCACCCTGCATTGTGCCCTTGTATGGGTCACCCCCGCACTGCACCCTGCCCAGCGTCACCCGCCCTGCGCCCTGGCCAAGGTCACCCCTTGCTGCGCCCTGCCTGTGCTCCTCGATCTGCTCCTCGCGCTCCCGGTAGCGCCGCTCCCGCTCCTCCTGCTCCAGCCGCTCCTGCTCCATGCGCTCCTGCTCGAACCGCAGCCGAGCGTCCAGCGCCTTTTTCCGCTCCTCCTCCTTGCGCAATTCCTCCTCTTTCTGCGGGACAGGGATGGGGCAACCCATCATCACCATCATCATCATCATCATCATCATCACCCCCATCTCAGCACCCTGAGGGTGCCGGCTCGCTCCGGGGGGCGGTGAGGGTGCCCCTACCTTGGCCTGTTCCCAGAACTGCTCCCGGTTGAGCCGCTTCATCTCCACGGTGGCGTCGGTTTTCTGGTAGGTGGTGCCCTGGGACGGAGGAGAGTCAGGGKGGGACGGAGGGGGCGTCCCGCAGGACGGGGCTGGGATCAGCGAGGGGAATGAAAGGAAGCGGCACATGGGGGCGGTGGGCGGGAGCCGGAGGGTCGCTCCGGAGCAGCCCCGCCGCGTCCCGGCCCCCGCGGCGGCCCCGGCGGCGCCGTTACCACGGGCTCGGCGCCGTCGTCCTCGCGCAGGCGCAGGCGGTGCAGCACGGGGCTGGAGACGCGCGCCAGCCCGTTGGAGAGCCGCTGCCCGATGGCGCCCGGGTCGATGTCCTCCACGCTGCTGGCGTTGACGATCACGTCCACGCCCTGGCGGGGACGGCGGCGCCGCGCGTCACCCCGGCGCGTCGGGCTGCCCCGAGCGCGGCGCCGCCGTGCCCGCCCGCGCCCACCTGGAAGAACTCGGCGATCTTGGCCACGTGGCTGGCGCACGCGCACTTGCGGGCGTCCGGCACGTCCTCACCCACCTGCGGCGGCACGGCACGGCAGGACGGGGGGCTGAGCCACGCGGGGGGCACGGGGCAGCCCCCATGGCCCCACGGGCCCCGTGCCCCCCGCTCACCCAGTTGACGAGGACGTATTTGGGCAGCACGGCCTGGGGCTCCTTGACGCTGCAGAAGCCGTACATGACCTTCTGGATCTCAAAGTGGCCCGAGAGCTCCAGCAAGCCGCCGCCTGGCACAGCACAGAGGGGTCACCGCGAGCGCCGCGGGCAGCCCCGGCCGCGCTGGCCGCCACCGCACGGGCCTTACCTCCCGAGGCCGCCAGCTTGAGGTCGTCGGAGTCATCCTCGTACGTGTAGAGCGCCCTGGGGACACAGGCTGGGTGGGCGACCCCCTTCTCCATGGAGGATGCCGCGCCACCCGGGCCAAGCCCGGAGCATCAGGCAGGGACCCCGCGGGTGCCCGCGAGCTGTCGCACAGCCCCCATGTCCCTCAGCCGGTGCCRTGGGGCTGGGGGCTCCCCACTGCTGTGGTCCAGGTCCTGCACGTGGGGCCAGGCGCCCCAGCAGGGCCGCTCACGTGCGGGGCTGCGTGAGGTGCCGGCCCGGGGGCTCCAGCGGCCGGGGAGGCCGCACGACAGCGGCAGCAGCAGCCGATCGATGCGGGGCCGCCGGGCTGCACCGGAGCCACCATGGAGCCCGATCCCTGCATCCCGGCGCCTCGGCTGCCCGCACAGCCGCGGGAACCCTCCCCGCGCGCCCGGAGCCCCCGCGGCTCCGCGGCCGCCCCTCGCGCAGCGCGAGCGCCCTGGGACGCCGGGAAAGGAGGCGCGAGGGGCGCGGGCGTCGTGGGCGAGGATGGAAATTGCCGCTTCTCCAGGCAACCCGCATCCCGCGTCGCCACAGCAACCCCGGCCGGGCCGGCGCCGCCGTGCGGGGCGCGGGGGAGGCCCGGGCAGCGGCCCAAGGCGGGCGCTGCCGTCACGCGCCGCGCGGGGCCGCCCGTGCCGGGACCCCCCCGCCGCGGCGCCCGCGCCTGCAGCCGCCTCGGTGCCCCCCGCCGCAGCCACGGCCTGCGCCCCGGCTGCGTGCGGGGAGCTGGGATAGGCTGGGAATAAAGCACCAGGGCTAAATATGGAAAATCTGCACTGGTGGAGAGCGGGGGGGAAAGGCACCCGCCTTGGTGCCCCCCGCCGAGCCCCCCGYGCGGGCCAGGCCCCGCTCCTGCAGCCAGCCGCAGATAATTGCGCCAACAGGATTGACTCTAATCCGCGCATCCGAAGCCGGCTAATCGGCAGCCGGAGCCGTCTCCCGGTGCCGGCGCTGTGCGGTGCAGGCTGCAGCGCAGCCCCCCTGCGCACACACCGGCCCCGGCCCTGCTTCACCCCCAGAATGGGCTCTGGTTGGGGGGAGGGTTCAGGCCTGCGGACAGGAGCTGGGGACACGGGGACAGCGACRTGGTCGGAGCCCCCCGCGTGCTGGGAGGACCCAGGACCTGCCACTGTCCCCAGGCCTGAGCGCGGAGCTGCTGCCCTCCAAGCGGGGAACCCCCCTGGCCGCCCAGCCCAGGCTGCCACAGCCCAAACCAGGCCCAGGAATCCCGAATTTCCAATCCGAGCTGAGGGCGGCACTGGGAGCAGCAGCATCCCGGGAGGCCGGAGCAGCCCCCGGGCACGGCCCAGGGGCAGCAGAGCCCGGTGGGGCTGCAGCGGGAGCAGAGGCTGCACCAGCATCGCAGCCCTGCCCCGGCTCCCTTCACCCTTCAACCTCCTCCGCGCAGCCCCGGCTCCAGGGACACGTGCCATGCACAAAGGGAAGTGGCCGCCCCTGGGAGCGGGGATGCTCCAGGAGGATCCCCCATCACCAACAGGGACGGGCGCTCTGGGCCCCACTGCACCCCCAGAGATAGCGGAGCAGGGGGTGCTGGATCAGCACCCACGCACGACCCGGGGCGCCCGCCCCCCACGCGGTGCCCGTAGGAGGGGGGAAGCGGCGGCCCCCGGCCGCCTGCCCCAGCCCTGGGCACATGTGTTTCCAATGTGGCTCTGAGCTCCAGGGAGTCGGCATGCTCCGAAAGCAGCACCAAATTCCTTTCCTATCGAGTAATGGGCCCCAGCAGCCTCCGCGAGGCCGGGCAGGGGGAGGGGACGCTCGGACCCTCCAGGACTCGGCTCAGGGTGTGGGGAAATCCCAGACTAAACATCCTCTCCTTGCACGGCAGTGGGGATCCCGCACGGGCAGCACGTGGCATCCCGGGCGCCGGGCCCTCTGCCTGCAGCGAGTCCCGAGCGCTCGGCAGGTCAGGGCGGCCACCAGCCGGGGTGGCCCCTGTCACCCCTTGTGCAGTCCCTGTCACCACATCGCATCCTCACCCCCCCCCAGCCTAGGGGGCTGGGGACAAAAGCCCCAGGTCCTGCAGCAGGGATGCTGCCGCCTCCAGCACCGCAGCTGGGCACGTGGCTCGGTTGCAGCCTGCCCCACAGGGGACCGTGGGGACGGGGACAGGGGAGGATGGAGTGAGCTCAACCCTGGGGACGGGCCCGGCTGCTGCTCGTGTCCCAGCAGGGTCCGGGTTGCAGGGGGGCAGCCTTGGCTCTCTGCTGCCCGGGAGCTGTTTCTGCTGCTCTCAGCAGCTTTGGCAGGGACGGATCCTTGCAGCAGATGCCGGGAACTGAGACATACCCAGGGCTGACAGCTGCCTCCTGGGCGGCCACGCACACTACGCTCCGCACGCTGCCGTCAGGGCCCAAGGCTTCCCCGGAGCCCGAATTCCTGCCCAGCCCCAGAGCACTGCGGCGGCTGCTGCCCCCGGTCCCTGGGTGCCCTGGTGAGCAGGGCCCAGCRGGCACCCCAGGAGGAGAGCGGCCGCAGGGCAGGCAGCCTGCGCACAGGGAACGGAGAGCAGCAGGAGCCCAGCGGGCAGTGGGCGCACAATGCGCATCCCGGCACTGCCGTGACCCCAGCTCTGCTCCGAAGGCTGCACCTCCAGGGACATCTGCAGCATCCCCTTCCCTGGGGACAGCAGGGAGCCAGGAGAGGGCCCTGGGGACCAGGGGGATGGGCCATGGCCACCTGGGTGGGGCCAGGAGACGCATCCGGCGCTGCCTGCGGACCCGGGGGAAATGGGGCCAGGCTGCTGTGCCCAGAGCCAGGGCAGAGGGGCTGCCAGTGGCYGGGCCCCCGAAACGCCCCCAGCACGGGGCACCTGTCAGCACCCCCCCCGCGGCTCCACACACGCACCCGAGGGTGGGAGGACATGGGTGCCGTGCCCCAGGATGCCCAGAGCAGCTCCGGCCTGGTGCCACTGCAGGGAGCTCCCCAGGGTGCCCTGCCTGATGCAGCCCCTCCTGGTGCTCCCGCTCCCCGGGGCTGCCCAGAGCTGCGGGGGCCGCGAGCGGGAAGGAAGCGGGGCCCGGGAACCCCAGCGCCCCCCCCGCTGCAGGCCGCGGGGCGGCGGCAGGGCCGGGGGGACCGGGCCGGGGGACCCCCCGTGCCGGCCCCGCACAATGGCGAGGCAGCGCAGCCGCGTCCCGGCGCCGCGGCGGCCCCCGGTGCCCTCCCGGTCGCCTCCCGCGGGCCTCCCGCTCCTCCCGGTGCGCGGTGCGGGGGAAGGAAAGCAGAGGAAGCGGAACGGGGGGGGGGGGGATCTCCGCTCCCTCCCTCCCGCCGCGCGGGGCTCCCCGCGGTGCCGCC